ATCAACAACAAGATCAACAACAACAACAAGGTTAATAAACAAACAAGATCAACAAGGTCAATAACAACAAAGAACTACAAACCACAAGGTCAACAACAACAAACAAACAAAATCAACAACAAGGTCAATAACAAACAAACAAGATCAACAAGGTCAATAACAACAAACAACTTCAAACCACAAGGTCAACAACAACAACAAACAAACAAGATCAACAACAAGGTCAATAAACAAACAAGATCAACAAGGTCAATAACAACAAAGAACTACAAACCACAAGGTCAACAACAACAAACAAACAAAATCAACAACAAGGTCAATAACAAACAAACAAGATCAACAAGGTCAATAACAACAAACAACTTCAAACCACAAGGTCAACAACAACAACAACAAACAAACAAGATCAACAACAAGGTCAATAAACAAACAAGATCAACAAGGTCAATAACAACAAACACACAACAAACCACAAGGTCAACAACAACACACAAATAAGATCAACAACAACAACAAACAAGATCAACAACAACAAGCAGGATAAACAACAACAACCAAATAACAAGATCAACAACAAGGTCAATAACAACAAACAATAAACAACAAGGTAAACAACAACAACACCAAACAAGATCAACAACAACAACAAACAAGATCAACAACAACAAGCAGGATAAACAACAACAACCAAATAACAAGATCAACAACAAGGTCAATAACAACAAACAATAAACAACAAGGTAAACAACAACAACACCAAACAAGATCAACAACAACAACAAACAATAAGATCAACAACAAGGTCAATAACAACAAACAATAAACAACAAGGTAAACAACAACAACACCAAACAAGATCAACAACAACAACAAACAATAAGATCAACAACAAGGTCAATAACAACAAACAATAAACAACAAGTTCAACAACAACAACACCAAACAAGATCAACAACATTAACAAACAAACAAGATCAACAACAAGATCAACAACAAGGTCAACAATGTCGACAAAAGACTTCCTGTCTGCCTCACTGCACAAGGAGGAGGAGTCTGAGCTGGAGGAGGCGGGGCTAACCCTGTAGCAGCGGTACTTGTAGAGGACCACCAGCAGGATGGTCATGACCACGATGACGCTGATCATGATGATGGTGTTGAGGACGGAGTTGAGGAGGCGGCGGGCGACGTTCGGGGTGTCCTCTGTGAACGGCGTGTAGATCCTGTGGAAACAAACGCCACGGTTACCTGTGTTCAGGAGGGAGGAGGGAGGAGGGAGGCGCCGGCCGTGTCCACCTACAGCTGCTGGTTGGTCTTTTCGGAGTAGAAGCTGACGGACTTGATGGTGGCGACCACCACCACCATGCAGAGGGTGACGGGAATGAAGAGCATGATGACGTGCTTCGCCCCGTACTTCAGAGGAAGCTCCTCCTCCTCAGCCTCCAGCTCCTGATCCGATCCGCCGCCGTCCACACCTGGACGGCTCCGCCTGCTGATCCTGGCCTGCACCAGCAGAGGACGACACAGAAACCAGACTTTATAACAGCTGAGGGTAACAGTGGTCCCCCCACACACACAGAAACACAAGCTTGTTTTTATATCCTTGTGGGGCCCATCCAGTGATTTCCAATCATTTTTTTACCACAGATCCTTCCTCCCAGCAGCTGTCAGACTCTATAACCTGCAGCACGCCCAAAAATCACAATCAGTGTTTACACACCTGCTGCTGCATCATCATTTGTACTGTCACTATTCATTGTAATTACACATCTGTGTTTCTTGTCTGCATTGTGATTCTTCACTTCACAGCTGTTGGTCGGTTGATTGTTTTGCACTGAAAACAGGTCGTTTCTGATTCCTAATGTCGGATTCTGAAACAAAACATATCGTTTTATATTCTTGCACAATTTGTCCTGATGCATCTCAGTAATCCAGGTAAAAAATCAAAAAGAAAAAAATTGTATAGGTCCTCTGGACGGGTTCTTC